ATAGTTGCTCATTATCTTTCTCTCTAAAATGAAGTGTTGGACTAAGATGGCTTGGTGATACAGTGGATATATAATGCTGAGCTGGGAGTCAGGATAACTTGAGTTCAAATTTGGCCTCAGACAATAGCTAGGTGACCTGGGTGAGTCACTTAACCTCTGCCTCAGTTTCCTCATCTATAAAATGGGGATAAAACAGTATCTCTCTCACAGGGTTGTTGTGAGCATCAGATCAGATGTAAAGCAATTATCTCAGTGCTTGGTTTATATTATTATTTATAAAATTTACATTATTGTTTTTATTTTGTTATATTGTTGTTATACTACATTACTGTTATTATTTACTTATTATTAAAGTAGGTACTTAATAAATGCTTGTTCTCATCTTCTTTCTTTCTTTCTAGATGTATGATCCTATTATCCATAGGTCTTTTTCCTGCTCCTTTCTTAGGATGAAATCCCCTCCATCCACATCAGCCTCAGGTCTCCTCTTATTTGTTTAGTTCCAATTCTCTTATTCATAGATTTCAAAAAAATTACTTTACCTCTATGTTATTTTCTTTGCTAAGAATGCCCCTGGGAGCTGAAGTTTGCCTGTCATTTCTAAATCTTCCACTTTTGACTTTAAAATCCCTGATCCTTACCTTTCCATTTTTGCAAGTGGTGTATTAAACTACTTTCTGACTGGACCCCTATGCTCTAGGTGGGAGAATTAGCATTTCTGTGTCTCTTTCCAGGCTCTCATCATTTCTTGTTTGGGTTGTTGCAATGGCCTCTCCACCCAGTGTCTCTCCGCACTTCAACCCATCTCCCACACTGTTGCCAAAATGATTTTTTTTAGGTGCAGATCTGACCATGTCATTCACCTTCTCACTAAATTTTAATGGCTCCTCATGGCCTCTAGGACAAAATATAAACACTTCCGTTTATCCTTTAAAGCTCATCACAACCTGGCCCCAACCTACCTTTCTAGCTTCTTATTACATTACTCTGCTTTCTATACTTTCCAGTCTATTCAGGTTGTTCTCTCTGTTTCTTGCACATGACACTCCATCTCTCATCTCTGTGTTTTTGCACTGGCCATTCTCAGTGACTGGCATGCCCTCTCTCCTGACCTCTGTCACAAGGAATCCTTCCCTTTCTTTAAGACATAGCTCAGAGTCCACCTTCTGTATGAAGCTTTCCATGATCCTCCCAACTGCTAGCATCCTTACCCCCAACTATCTTGTATTTATTTTATAATCCTTCTGCATAGATTTATTCTTGTCTGCTTACGTAAGTGTGTCCTCCAATAGGATGTAGTTTCCTTGAGAGCAGAGATGGATTCTTTTTTTGTCTTTGTATTCCTAATGCTTTGTACAATACTTAGCCTGTTGTAGTCACTTAATAAGTGCTTTTCATTGATTTGATTGATTCTTTTCGTGACTTTGTTTTAGATCCCTCACTTCAATATACATGCAAGCGTTACTCCTGAGTTTTCATTGTTTTCCATCCTTTGTTTCCTTTTGGTCTTCCTTTATCTTTCATTCCAAAATACCAAAGTTACATAGACAGGCTTCTCCATTTGGATAGGACTGGGTATTCTAGGTTGGTGGACAGTTGGGGATCAGTGATGAACTGTTCTACTCACTTTTGTTTGAGCAGCGGGAGGATCAAGGAAGACTTCAAGGAGGAGTTAAATACTGAGTTGGATATTGAAAGAAGAGGGGGGGTGTAACAGGGGAAGGTTAGGGAAATAAGCATTTATATGGTGCAGGCATGGTGCTTGGCATTTTTAAAATAAATATCCTTATAAATTTTATTTGTTCCTCACAAATATTTGATCCTCACAAAACCTATGAGGTAGATGCTATCACTATGCTATTTTACAGTTGAGAAAACTGAAGCAAACAGAAGTAAAATGACTTGCCTAGGGTTATACAGCTAGTTAGTGTCTGGGTGTCTGAACCTAGGTCTAACTTCTAGCTTCATTCTTGACCCTTCCTTTTCTTTCATCTCCTCTTCCCCCAACCATATCCAGTCAGTTTCCAAGTCTTGGATATTTTTATCACCTCAACGTTTTCCACCACGTGGCCACCTATGAGCATAGACCTTCTTTGTGCTATTTGCAGTGGCTTCAAATTGATTTACCTCCCTCTAGTCTTTCCTTTTTTCAAATAATATTCTAAGCAGCTGTCAAAATCATATTCATGAAGGGTAGGTTTGACCATGTCACTCATCTTGAGTATCTCCTTCATGCCTTTAAGATAAAATAAAAACTATTTAATGTTCAAAACCCTTCATAATCTGGCACCTACTCTCATGTTATACTCCTTTATACACATCACGTTCCAGCCAAGCTGGCTTGTTTGCTAATCCCAATACATGATGTTCTATTTCCCTTCTCAGACGTTTGCATGGGCTGTCTGCTAAGCCTGGAATGCATTCCCACCTCACCTCCACCTATTGGAATCCAGAGCTCCATTCAGGGCTCAGCTCCACAGCCAAAAGGCCCATCCTGATCCCCGAGTTAGTCCTCCCAATCACATAGCTTATCTACCTCTCTGTTGCTTTCTCCTAGTTGATGATTCTTTAAGAGCAGAGACTATTTCAGTTTTTTTTTTCACTAGCACCTTAGCACAGTGTTTTGCACATAACAGGTGCTTATGGAAGTGATTTTTTTTTTTCAGGAGATAAGAACAACTGGAAGCTTAGGAATAAAGGACTGGTGTTGTCAGAGGCATGATTTAAGATGACTTATCTGGCAATAATGAGGAAGACAAGATGAAGAGAAGATATACTGTAGCAGTTTAGAAGGCTGTTCTAATAGTCCAAGGCAAGAAAGAATGAGCATTTTTGTAGTGATTATGGAAAAGAGAAGTTAGTCTAAGAGTTATTATGGAGGTTGAATTGATAGATCTTTTTTTGGGGGGGGAGCTGGGCAATGGGGTTCAGTGACTTGCCCAGGGTCACACGGTTGGAAGTATCTGAGTCCGGATTTGAACTCAGGAAGATGAGTCTTCCTGAATCCAGGCCTGGCACTCTATCTACTGTGCTAACTAGCTGCCGTTCTTTGTTTGCCTTGCTATGCATACATATATACGAATATATTTTTATATCTATCTACCTATATATCTACATATATATCTATATATCTATATCCTGCCATCTGCCTTCACTTTCATCTCTTATATATCATTTAAAATATGAATTTTTGATGAGCAGCTCATGGAGTTATTCATATTTTCTTTCTCTTCAGAATTAATTATTATTGCATCATTAAAGTTTCATTCCTGAAAGTCTCTTATTCCTTTGGATTTGACTTCCCATTTAGAATATCAAACCATAGGATCTCAAGAATTTTTTTGAAATCCACTCTCTGAAAGATATACATCAGACTCTGCCTAGTGTTACCTGTTTTTTCGTTATGAACTCCAAGGTAACACAATCTTTGCCTCTGAAGGTTTCCATCATTACTTTACCATCCAATTCTCCCTTATTGGTCAATATTAGATCCAGAATAGTAGTGCTCCTTGTCTCTAGAAATCTTTGCCACCATTTCCATTCCCTTCATCTCTTTTTCCTTTATTCCCAGTAGGATCCAGAGCTTGTTATTACTAGATTAGATTATTAGAAGTTAGCGTCATATGCTTATAGATTCTCTAGGCTGTATTGAGCTGTCTCAAGAAGAATTAATCAAATATATTTGCCCAAGAAAGTTGTGTGTACATCTTTGAAAGGTACTAATTATTCATTTAGTGACCTCTCTACATAAAAATATAGGATAGGTAGTAAGTGGGAGCAAATAATGTATATAGAAGTTCCATTATTACCCTGACAAGGTAAAGATTAGGGGAACATTTTAGATAATACAATAAATAATGGCAACTTTCTCTTAAAAAACAAAAACAAAAACAAAAACATGAGCTAGCTTATTATGCTCACATGACTGATCACATAGATCTAAAAGAATCTTAATGATCCATGAGATAATTGTTCTCATTATTAAAGGTACATCTGCATTACAAAAAAGTAGTGCTTTAAAAACACAGTGCACTGATGCACTTTGGAAAGCCCTCAAATCATGAATAGTTCCATGAAAAAGAACAATATTGGTGATTCAGAAATGTGAATTTTTGTTGGATTTATTGCAGCTAGAGAACACATACATTGTCAATTGTGCTTTTTTTTTTAAAAGTAATATAAATTCTCCCCAATGTGATGGAGTTACTCAGTAAAATGGAAGAAAATTTAAATCCTAGAGGTTTTCCTTGTATTAAATATTTTGCCCCAAATAGCTATGTAACAGCTACAAAAAGTGGAAAAAAAACTAAACCAGAAAACTTAAAGATAATAATTTCATATATTATATATATACAATCAGAAAATGAAAAATTATTGCTCAGATTCTCTCTTCATTGGATTCTGAGTATCTTCTTAATTGTTCACATTCCACACCCAGCAGTGAGTAGGCAGTCAATACATGCTTATTGAATAAATGAAGAAAGAATTCAATGAACATTGGCTATATTCCATTTGAGTTTTTCTTTTTTAGCCCTGTCTGATGTTCCACCGCTTCGCTTGGATGAAGGCTGAGTTGATTTTCCATGCTATTCTTTAGATTTTTTTTTTTTAGAATAAAGACATGCTTAATAAATCATGGGTGAACTGAATTTCATGAATAAGTTTAAGACCAGGTAGTGCTATTTGAAGACTGTAGCAGCTGGAGAACAAATAGTAGTTGTCAGCTAGTGAGAAATTATTATAATAAAAATTGTGATTTTTGGCTTGATTTCAGGATTCTAATTTTCTGAAGTAGTTTTTAGTAGTGTATATGTATGTATATATATATATTATATATATATATATATATTCATGATTATGTGTTTATTTTGTGACTCCTAGCTTGGTGCTCCTATCCCTGGTCAATGTGGACCAATAGAAAAATGTTACTTTTGTTTTAAAGAACAAAATCTCTCTTTTACATCTCATCTCTTTTTGCTTTTTTCCCCCCACCCATAGGGATGCCCTCTGCTTCTTTATTAGTTAATCTTCTTTCAGCATTACTCATCAGTTTTGTATTTGGAGAAACAGAAGTAAGATTTTCTGGACAAACAGAATTCCTTGTTAATGAAACAACTACAACCGTCATACGGCTTGTGATTGAAAGAACAGGAGAACCGGCTAACATCACTGCAATTGTATCGGTAAGGAAATATTTTAGTAAATGCTTTTATTTGATCAGATATGTAAGTTCTTCTTTAAAATATATTTTGTTTTTCCCCAATTACTTGTTAAAGTAATTTTTAAACATTTTTTTAAAGTTTTGAGTTCCAAATTGTATTCTTCTCTTTTTTCTTTCCTTTCCCCCTCCCTGAGATGGTAAGCAATCAGATATAAACATTCATATGTACAATCATGTAAAATGTTTCCATATTAATCATTTTGTACAAGAAGACTTGAATAAAAGAAAAAGAATGAAAGAAAGAAAGCAAAAAATAGCATGCTTCAGTATGTATTTAAACAATATCAGTTCTTTCTCTGGAGACAGATAGTATGCTTCATCATTAGTCCTTTGAGATTGTCTTGGTGGAATGTTTAATAACAAGGTTTTTAGGAGTTAATTTCTTTTTCATTTTGATATTTTTGAGCTCCCAGATTGTGATATATTATGCAGATATACACATATATGTATATATATAAATTTACATTCTAAAGTGATGTGACATAGGTGTTTCACAGATAGTAGTACATAGCAGTGTTTAATAAATGATCTAATCAGAAATAGATTGATTATACTTAGGCTAGTTTTATTTTCTTGAATTTCTATCTGCTTATAATTATTTTTTTTTATTTTGGCTTTATATAACCCCCATTTCCCACTATATCCTCCTCCCTTCAGAGATTTGGTCTTTATAATGAGGAATCAGAGGGGGAAAAGTTCATCAAACCTAACCAGCATGTTTTAAGAGTTAGACGGTGTGCAGTGTTTGATACTCATTGTCTACAGAGCATCAGAAGGAGGTATCTCCTAATTCTTTTTTGGGAATAAGTTTGGTCATCATAATTTCATAGTGTTCAGCTTCCATTATTTTATTATTGTTGTTCTGGTCCATTTACATTGTGCTCACTGTGTATACAATTTTCCTGGTTCTACTTCACTTTACCTCAGTTCATATGTCTTCCCATGCTTCATTTTATTCATTTCTTACAACAGAGTAATACTCCATTAAATTTATGTACCACAGCTTACTTAAAATAAAATCCCTGATTGATGGACACGTACTTTGTTTCTGGTCTCTTGCTACCACAAAAAAGTGTTGCTATAAATATTTTAATGTAAATGGGGCTTTTCTTTTTATCATTGACCTCCTTAGGAATATATGACTAGTAATGGAATCTCTGGGTGAAAAGGTATGGACTTTCTAAGTACTTTCTTTGCATGATTCCTAAATCCTTTCAGTAATGGTCAGATAAATTCACAGCTCCACCAGTAATGTATTAGTGAGCTTTTCTTTCCATACCCCCGCCCCTCCAACATTAACTACTCCCATCTTTTGTTATATTTGATAATTTGTTCAGTGTGAGGTGAAACTTAAGAATTTTGATTTGTATTTTTTTATTATTAAGGATTTGGGGCATTATTTCATATGATTAATTTCAGTTTGCAGTTTTTTTTGAGAACTGTTCATTCATATTCTTTGACCGCTTACCTATTGGGAAGTGACTTTCATTCTTATATAATTGAACCGATCATTATTTTGTGAAATTATGAAATTGTGTGGGCATGCCTTGTTCTTAAAAAACTTGGCAGGAAAGACCACAATGGCAGTGGGAAGTGAGGCTGCAATCACACTTTAATAAGGCACAGAAGCTCTAGGGATAAATAGATGCAGAAAGTATAGAGACAAGCTGTGAAAAGAGATGCAAAGGAAGACAGTGTGGGGAAGGGGATGGGATGATGAAGGGAGGCAAGCAGCAGTGGATGAAGGGAGAAAAGGCAGAGAGTATCATTCCCTTAATCAGGGGTGGGGGAACCTGCAGTCTCATGACCACGTGTGGCCCTTTAGGTCCTCAAGTGCAGCCCTTTGACTGAATCCAAACCTCACTGGACAAGTTCTCTGAATAAAAGAATTTGTTCTGTAAAACTTGGACTTAGTCAGAAGGCCGCATCCAGGGACCTAGAAGGCTACATGTGGCCTTGAGGCCACATTCCCCATCCCTGCCATGGATTAGAGTTGGGACCACTTGGCAGCATGGACCCCATGGATATGGAAAAATGCTGGGGAAGGGGAGAGGAGAGCAGGATTTTGAAGTCCCATCTTTATAGGTTTTTTCAGGGAGGAAGAGACTAACTCTTGTCTATGCTACCTTGGGGTTAATTCATCCATATATCAATTCATCTCAAAGTTGTCAGTAAAACATTAAATTTAACATCTATGTTATCTCAAAGTTATCAACCTCATTTGATAATTTGCTGGACTTACTGTGGATGTCTGGAGCTTATTTAAGATTTTCATGTCGTAGGACCAAAAGGCTCTGATTGTAAGGCTTAGATGGCTCTCCTTGATCCAACATATATTACCATAATGTGATTTTTTGGTTAATATATGATATAATTTGTAAATTATGCTTTTTTGGCTTTTTGGATAGTTTATACATGATTTCTGGGTTCCCCTTTGGAATCTTACTTTCTGGTATTGCTACTTTATACGGGCTATTTATAAACTTACTATGCTGACTAGAAGTGAAGAGATAGTCAAGAGGACCAGAACAGGAAACAATTTTAACAAAGATTTCTCTAAGTTGTCTATATATCTTGATTATCAGACTCTTATTTAGAGGTCTTTGATAAGAAATTTTCCTCAGTCAACTCTTTATTTTTCCAGTTGTGTTAATTTTGTTCATGTCAAAGCTTTTCAATTTCATGTAATCAAAATTAGACATTTTATCTATTTGCTTTTGTTTCCTATTCATTTTTTTACTTAAATAAAAAATTATGTAATGATACTGAGGTCCTTAAGTGCAGTTCATACAAATTAGTTTTAGATTCTTGCCGCCTCAGCTCAGCTTTATGGATTCTGAAACTTTTAGAATTGTAAATGCATTAAAGAGAAAGCCTTTGAAAAGTCTGAAACTGAGAATTAACTAGTCTAAACGTGAATATGTTTGTGAGTTTCCAAATTTTAAGAGAAACTTAAGAGGTAAGCGATGTCTATGTAAGAGAATAGAAGAGGAATAACAGCTAAGAAAACCAGCTCTACAAAGTTCCTTCTCGTGTGGCAGTTGAAAAGCACTGTGGTACAGTTTTGCTGCAACCTGAATGTCTCTTTCGAGCTTAATAAAATGATTAATGGATCCTGTGAAAACCCTTTGTAAAAACATATATTCCAATAATTCAACCATGTGCACAGATTCTGAGAACATCATTACATTGAAAGTCTAACGTGTTTGGATTTTCTCTGTATCTAAAATTTCACCCTAGTTTAAAAAGTGTTTAGCTTAATTTGCCTTTTATGTACATGTCCAGGATCATGGATTATGGGCCTGTTTTTTGGATGTACGATTAATTTCTACTTCTTTTATGGTGATGAAAGAGTTTTCACTGGATAGAATCACAATCTGAATTGGAAGGGACACCAGAGGCCATGAATTCCAACCTCATACCTGAGCAAGAATCTTCTCTCCAACTTCTCCTGGTCATCTAGCCTTTGCTCGATGTCCTCCAGAGATAGCCCTTTTCATTTTAAAGATAGTTCTTATTGTTATGAAGCTTTTCCTTCCATGAAGCATAAATTTGTTTCTCTGCAACTCCCATCTCTTGTTCTGATTCTTGCCCTCTGGGGTCATGCAGCGTAAGGTTAATCACTCTTCTATATGATGGATCTTTATACTTGAAGGCAGCCATCTTTTGAGAAAGATGAGATGGAGGTGGGTAGGAGGGCACTATTTTTAGACATAGATAATTTCTGTACCAAGTTCCCTAATGGTTACAACAACAATACTAACAATTGACACATATTTAGTGCTTTAAGGTTAAAGCTTAAGGTAGAATTATTTTATTCTATTCTCATAATCTTCTGAAATAATAATAATAAATGACATTTTTGTTTAACTTTGTTTACAAAGTATTTTCTTTGCAATGTCTATGTATATAGGTTAGCAGAAGAATTATCAGGCAGCTAGGTGGTGCAGTGGATAGAGTGCCAGGCCCGGAGTTGGGAAGACCTTTCACCGAATTCAAATCTGGCCTCAGATGATTGCTAGCTATGTGACCCTGGGCAAGTCAGTTAACCCTGTTGGCTTCACTTTCCTCATCTATGAAATGAGCTAGACCCCAAAAGAGGTCAAGAAAAGTCAGACACTACTGAGGAACAACTAAATAACAACATAAGAATTATCATCCAAATTTCATAGATGAAGAAACTGAGTCTTGGGTTAAGTGCTGTGCCTATGATCTGATAACTAGTGCCTGGTGTTGGTGGGATATGAATTCTTCTCTCCTTTTATTTAATGGGGTCTTGAAGAAATAAACAAGTTTATTTATTTTTTTTTTTGACTGAGGCAATTGGGGTTAAGTGGCTTGCCCAGAGTCACACAGCTAGTGGGTGTTATGTGTCTGAGGCTGGATTTGAACTCAGGTACTCCTGACTCCAGAGCCAGTGCTCTATCCACTATGCCATCTAGCTGCCCCTGAAATAAACAAGTTTTTAAATTTTTTTTATTTTTTGTTAGATCATTAAGGATTTAGGGATATTGATAAGACTATGACACTTTTCTCAGGGGAGAGAATAAGAATTATTCCTGAATTCAGATGTCAATTTTGCAATTGACAAGCAATACGATGGATTATCATGAAATCCTTGAGCAGATTTATTCCCCTCAGTCTCGTTAAACTATGGTTAATTTTCAGTTTAGGTTAGCCCTCTCTAGATCAGATTTTGTTATACTAGAAATGAAGAAAAAAATCTGTCACTTTGCCTTGGGCTCCACATGACTTGCTTTCTATAGCTTAGCGAATGCCTAAGGATATTTCTATTAGTTGTTTGTCTTTGAAATGCTAACTCTGTGAGCACTTGTTGTTTTAGTCTTTTCATTTGTCTGATTCTTTGTGAGTTGACCCCTTTTGGGGTTTTCTTGGCAGAGACACTGGAGTAGTTTGCCATTTTCTTCTCTAGCTCATTTTACAGATGAAGAAACTGCGGTGGACAGGGTTAAGTGATTTGCCTAGGGTCACACAGCTAGTAAGTGTCTGAGGCTATATTTGAACTCAGGAAGGTGAATCTTCCTTATTCCAGGCCTGGCACTCTATCCACTGCATCACTTAGCCACTCTTTCTGTGAGCACAGCCTGCTGGTGTTGTTTCTTTGTTTGAATAGAAATACTGCAATTAATTGGAAGTTCCATTATCTTCCTTATGAATGCTCTTTTAAGTTTTAGTGTTAGAAGTTTGTGTGGACCCTTGGTTAAACAGCCTTTACCTTTGTATCTTATAGCTTTATGGAGAAGATACAGGTGACTTTGTTGACACATATGCTGCAACTTTTATACCTGCTTCAGAAACCAGTAGGACTGTGTATATAGCAGTCTGTGATGATGACATCCCGGAGCCTGATGAAACATTCATCTTTTACTTGACATTACAGGTAGGTACTAGAGTTATCGTTTTACTGATGTTATCTCATTCTCATATTGTTTGATGACATTCAGATAGAATCAGTCCTATTCTGCCCTTATTCTCTAATATTTAGTATTTTGAGAACTGTTTTGCTGGCAATAAGATTCCTTTTTTAAATGAATAAAAGTATTGGGATTTAATTTCATCTTCTGCAGGTTTCCTTGAGATAACCTCAGTAGCAGACAGAATGATAGGGATGATATGGACTTCATCATGTTACCACTTGAGTTTGATTTCTTCTTCTAGGTCTCTGTATTTTGAAGGTTTTTCTTTCTCATGTAGTTTGGGGATTATGACATCTCTTAAAAACATTGTTCTTAAATGTTTAGGAATCAAGTCATGCCTAGGTGATTACAGGCACAGTTTTGTCTGTGATAATGTTCTAGTTTCAGTACAATTTATTGATTTATCAAAGCTATTTTGAAGTCTGTATTTGAGTTTGGATATTTATCATCTGTTAATTTATGAATAGCAAGTTTCTCATGTATAATTCTGGTCACAAGTTCTTTTCTTTCTTAGGTATTTGGTAGATGTTAAGTTTTTATAACCTGTAGTGATATGTTGCACAGCATTTCTTCTCTCTGTAACTTCCGGTGGCAATATATTGGTATTATATCATTATTAAGAATCCCTCTGTTTCAGTTAACAAATCTGCATGACAGTCACTTGTTTGACACAGACATTGTTGGTTGAGTTCATGTTGATGTTGCCCCTGGGGGGACCTTTTGATTCCTATCTGGGATCTTAGCTGTTTCATAGGCTACATCTGGAGGTAAACCATTTTTTGGTTACATTAGGTAATTCTGGTGACAGTAAGTCTTTTTTAGCAGCTGTGGAGTCTGTTTCAGAAATTTTTTCTGTGAGTTTTAAACTTATTTATCATGTTCTCTGAGAATATCTATGAATCTTCTTTTTCCTATTGGAAATGGAAGTGTTAATCTTTCTATGGCTCTCTTGGGGACTCTTCATTTTATTAAAATTATATGAATTTTAGATGCTTTCTTTTTTTAAAAAATCACATATTTATTTATTTTTAGTTTTCAACGTTCACTTCTATAAGATTTTGAGTTCTAAATTTTCTTCTCTTCCCCAAGATGGTGTGCAATCTGATATTGGATACTTTCTAAATATACCATCCATATTACTGCTTCAAGTGTACATTGAGATCAATCTTGTATTATATAGATGTTAGTGGATATTATTATTATTCTTGCCATTATTATTATAATAAAAAAAACCTTAGTTTGCTTTAAAACCTTAGATATTTGGGTTATAGCTAGCCCTATTGAGTGGTTAGTGCTCTGGACTTTAGTGAAAAAAAGCCACTTGAACTCCTGTTCTGCAGACACAGACGGATTGTTCCTCCCGCTCTAAAAATGTGTTTTACAACGTAGTTTTCTGGTCCACTCAGCTTACTTAAGAATTTCTTTCATGAATACTGAAACAAGTATTGTCTTCTTTCTGGTCTCCCTTTCTCTCCCTTCTCTCACCCTCCCTCCCAACCATATATACACACCCACTGAGACACAGATAAACACAAAGAATGGTCATGCTTCCTGACTTCAAAAGGGAAGGGCACAAAAAGGAGGAGGAGCCACTTGGTGAGGACATGGGAAATTCCCAGTCCCTCAAAAAGAATTTGCAACATCCCTGGGAAAAGTACTTGAACAGGATGAGAGTTAAGCACTCTTTACTTCTTGCTCTGTGAGAATGATGCAAATAATCTCAAGTTTTTCCAGTTAATTTTTAAAAATAGTTTCGAAGTTATTACTAGTATGATATCTCTGTTTTCATAGTCACATATTTTTAGTTTATCACTTCACTTATAGAGTCAGCTCTTGTTTCAAATAATAAATGTCTTTTGCCTTTCAATTAACTTTTTCCTTTAGGTCATTTTGTGCTCCTGATGAATATTAGTAAACATTTCATATAGAAATTTTCCCACTGTTATAAAATAATGTTTACTTTGACCTATAGGCTTTTGATTCCTAGGAGAAAAATTATTTCCTTAGTTTCTGCAGTTTCTACTAGTAAATTTTTTTTCTTACAGAATTATGCACTCCATACTTGGTTCCTTATTTGTCAAATTGTGATTTATGGTTTTCAAAACCTGTTTTGAGGACTTTGTTGTTTAACTAGTTGGGAATTTTTTTTTTCAGTTTCTGAATTTATTTGACTTTTTCCTTCATTAAAAATTTACTTACATTTCAATTCACAGTCTGAAAAAAGAAATCCTACTGAAAATGAACTTTATTTTTCATTCTTTTCTTATTTATGTCCTATTCATTTTAGAAGCCATCATCAAAGATAAAGCTTGGTTGGCCAAGGTCTGTGACTGTGACCATACTATCAAACGACAATGCCTTTGGAGTTATTTCATTTGATATGGTATGATTGATCCTACATAACTTAATCTTTGTACTTTAAATTTAGTAGTTGATTTACTTTAATTTATAGCACTATATTTGTATATAGACACCATTCTGTTTTGGCATATGGTCAAATCCATCTCCTTTTTGAAGTATGTAACCACTTAACTTGAAATATTTCAAACTGGCATGGTCTTCTAGAGCTTAGCTCCATTAGCACGGCCATTGATGACTCAGAGTAGCCTCCATGCTGTGGTTTATCCTTGGCATAGGACTTTAGTGGAAGGAAGTACATACAGTCTAAGTTAAATTTTCCTGTTTGAATTTCCCAAAGTGATTGTTTGATCATGGAATAGTCTGTGGGAATTACATAGTAATTACTTAGTACACTGGATTTTTTTGTCTTTTAATTTAGTTGATCTGTTAACATTTTGAATACAGAGAAAGGTTGTTCAGACATCATTATGTATAGTCTTTTAAAAGCATTATTGCCATATTTATTACTTGAAGTGGAGGAAAAGAATAATAATAATAGCAAACATCTCTATGGCACCTAATGTGTGCCCGGCACTTTACAAATATTATCTCATTTGATCCTCACAACAATGCTGAGAGGCTATTATTAGCCCTATTTTATAGATAAAGAAACTGAGGCAAACATAGGTTTAAGTGACTTGTCTGAGGTCACAGTTAGTCAACATCTGAGGCCAAATTTAAATTCAGATCTTCCTGATTTCAGGACCAGTGGTGCTCTATCTACTGTACCACCTAAATGCTAAGATAGGAGGAAAGCAACTCAAGTGTTTCTTCATCCCTCTCCCTCTTCTCTATACCCTTTCCAATCTGTCCATGCCCCTAATCTCCTGTAGGCATTTGGGGAAAACGAATGAGGTTGAGGACCATGATACAGCTCTAGCTTCTGGGAGTAGGTTCTAGCTCTTGGTAGAAATGGCCTCTCAGGAGCTTGTTCAGCAACAAGCCCTCTCCACTTAAATCATATCATTACAAGCTCAATCAATATCTACTGTATGTATAGGATTGAATCTTGGTCTTGCCTGTAACACTGATTAGATGCTGTTGTTTAGCTACTCATTCATTCTTCACAACTTATTGCAGTGATCACTGCCCCATGGTTACCTATTTTGTTATGCATTCATCACTCCTTGCTTCTTGGCTTTACTGCCTATTGTTTCCTTCCCTCTCCTGACTTGACCCTACCAGAAAGAGCTATCAGCAACTGATTTTTTTCTCTATCTAGGGCAGTGGAGAGGTAAGAGGGAAAAGCGTGAAAGATGAGCTGAATGATAGGCACTCTGACAAGCTCCCCTTGACGTAAGGATATATTAGTAATTATGAATGATACTGCAACCAAGATTTAATCTGTCAGTAGTGCTGAACTACTCCAGGAAAAAACCCACAAAAAGATGCTAAGACAGTAGAGATTGATGAGAATGAAGAATAAACATAGTCCCATTATACTTGCTTGAATCTTGGGAGGCTTCATACTGTAATGGAAAATGCATAAAATTAGAAATAGGAAGACTTTGATTCTAGTTGTTAGCTGTGGCATCTAGGGCAAGTCACTGAGCCTTAATTTTCTCATCTGGTAAGATGGGACCTCTCCTCTCTATCCCATAGGGCTGTTGTGAAGATCAAATAAGATAACGTATATGGAAGTATTTATAAACTGTAAGTGCCAATGTAGAATAAGTTTATAGCAAATATATGTTTTGGGTTTTTTTTTAACTGGACCTGCAGTTTCATTGCTTTGGACATGCTCAGGAGGAAAATGTCCACCAGTACAAATCAGCACCTGCTTTATAATTTTTAGTGTTATTAGAGGGTTGCCTGAAGCAATGAGAGGTTGAGTGACTTGCCCAGGATCACCCAGTTTGCCTCAGAGGTGAGGCTTGAATCCTGGTCTTTCTCATGTGTATAGAGATGAACTCTTTAATCAACTACACCCATCATGGTGTTTCTTAATGAATTAATGGGAATATAATTTTCTAAGTACTGATTCAACCTAAGATAACAGTATAAGGCAAATGGCATTAGTCCTTATTTTTAATATACACAATTTAGACTGTTTAGGGGTTCTTAACCTTTTTTGAGTCATTGACTCCTTTGGCAGTTTGGTAAAGCTTAAGAACTTCTCAAAATCATGTTTGTTTTTTCAAAAATTCATGACTGAAGGAAATTCAAAATTACAATATGAGGTTAACGAAAGCACTTTTTCCTATCCAAGTTTCCAGACTCCTTGAAATCTAGACCTCTTAGTGATCTATAGACCCCAGGTTAAGAACATCTCATCTGGAGGCCAGAGGATATTGACTGCACATTTCTTGAATCACCAATTGATAGAAGGATATTTTAGGAGGATAGTTTCTTGGACCTAGAAAGGAAAACTACTTGTGATGATTTCTTGGATGATGAAGAAATATAGATCACTAAAAGTTACAATTTTACTGGATATCATTATAGGAAGTAAAACTAGATAATATAAAATTTAGAACTGTTTGGGACTCATTGAGTACAGATTAAGAAACTGGGCCACAGAGAAGTTCTGTTTTTTTGGTGGGGAGAAGAGTCAGGACTAGAACCAAGATCTTTTAACTCCTACTCCAAGACTCTTTGTACTATACTCTGTTGCCCTGGATTTGGTAGTTGGATTATTTAATTATTATAATATATATAATATGTATTATATTATATATAGTGTGTTATATATAATATAATAATATATAAATTATTATTTAAGTGCTTTTGTTCTCAGGGTTAGTTCATTGTTGGGCAATACACTATTCTTAGTTGACATGTTACAGGCTCTATTAACTTGCCTGTGAGAATTTAATATTTCTATGGTAGTGGTTTTTTAAACCCCTTTCTACTATGATGTTTGTTCAGCACCTGATTACCTGTCTCCACTTTTCTCCATTAGCCTTCCTTAATCACAGTGAACGAGCCCAGGGGCAGGAATGAATCTGTACCTTTCATTCTAATTAGAGAAAAAGGAACCTATGGGAGCGTAACTGTGAGTTTTGAGGTAAGTTTGTTTAAAAATAGCTTTAAATTTCTACCTCTTAGTTTTAGTAGATAGCTTACATTGAAAAAATCATAGTTTTGATCATAAACATGAAACAGATTTAATATAGGGAATGTTTTTATAACCTTGTTATAAATACTGCAATGTAATGTTTTTATAACAGATGTTCATTAGTAGTCTTACTCTGAATTTGAGGTAATAAATAAATTTGGGTAATAAATCACTGAAATTCAACATAAGAAATGTCAGTTGGAATATTTTAAATGGTCTAGACATAATAATTTTCATAATGGATATGAAGCTGAGTTTCTTCCTCAGGCATACACATGGGTAGAATTACCATGTTAGATTATTTAATTTTCTATTTAATGCATAAGTAAAAGTGAGCAAATACATGGTATTTTTATAACCTTTAAAATTCATACATAAATATTTAACTAATTTTGGCACTTTATGAAGTTATCTACCATATGATTATATGCTACTTGAGAAGATTTAAATATGAAGTCATTATTGTTTCCTTAAAAGAACATTTTATTTCTGGAAAAGATAGTAATTTTCCTCTAATGCAATTGATGTTTATGGAAGTACCTTTTAGCTTTGATTAAATAGTTAAAAAAAGATACTGATAACCTCGAACCTTTGAGCGTACTTATATACTTATGGTAACCTTAGTATTAGCATCTTGAAGGATAAACTTCATAGCATCTTGAGAGGCTGTTACTAAGTGTAAGAGAATCTTTCAGTAGTCTCTGGAATCCTATAAATTACTACCACTGTAGCGCTACTAATGCTATGCATTTTTTAGGTGCCGTAAATCAATTTGCATTTATTTAGTAATATCTTATAATTTTTTTGCAGGTAGAGGGTGGTCCAAATCCACCTGAAGAAGATTTAAGTCCAGTTAAGGGAAATATCACCTTCCCTCCTGGTAGAGCAGTAATGGTTTATAACTTGACAGTACTGGATGATGAGGTGAGAAAAAATTAAGTACTTTGATGTACAGAATATTATATCTGTGCATCAGAAATTAAAATAAAGTACCTTTTTTAGCATGTGTTAAATTATGTCATGCTTGCACAGTTGACCGTGAAGCAAAAACTTTCAAAATCCTAAATAAAACTGTGAACTATGGCCAGTAATGATGTGAGGGTAAGAGGGCAAACTGTTTTCCCACTTTTTGCATGTATTATGTACATTGTTGTTTTTCAGCTCTTTTAGCCATGTCTGACTTTTTGTGATCTGTTTTAGGGTTTTCTTGGCAAAGATACTGGAGCGATTTGCCATTTCCTTCTCCTTATCATTTTAAAAATGGCAAAACTGAGGCAAACAGGGTTAAGTGATTTGCCCAGGGTCACACAGCTGTAAGTGTCTGAGACCAAATTCGAACTTAGGTCCTCCTGACTACAGGCCTGGTGCTCTATCTACTGTGCTGTCTAACTATCCCACTACATAAATACTTGATTTATTTAACTTATTGGGGAGAAATGAAAGAAACAAACATTTAATGTCAGGCACTGTGATAAGAAATTTACAGATATTATTTAATTTCATTTTTAGAGTTTGTTGCTATGCCAAATTAAAAAGGTAAAAAGCTGTACAAATATAAGATAGTGGTCTTAATACTTGTAGTCTCTAATGTGCATATAATAAACACTTTTAAAATTACATTGATTATTTTTAGTAATGGTAGTAATTTAGTAATGTTCTCAGATTGCACATGGATATGCGACTTTTCCAAATCTGTTGTCATAAGTTATATATGTGTATATACAAGCATATACATGTATACACATAGATATATTTACATACACTCATGTATGTTAGGACCTGTGATTTCTTTAGTGAAGGGAACAGAGTAACATTAGCATGTAAGTATAATTTATACTAGCCAAAGAAGAAAAAAAATGGCTTGGGTACTATAGAAAATTTCATATATATTCCCATGACTTAAGAAAATGATCTAGCAATGACTGATTAGCAGGTGAGTATGAAAGAAAAAAAATAATCACTTCAATTTTTTAAAAAATGAAAGAAATAGGGGAAGCTAGATGGCACAGTGAATAAAGCCCGAGCCTTGGAGTCAGGACTACCTGAGTTCAAATCCGGTCTCAGACAGTTGACACTTAACTGGTTGTGTGACCCTGGGCAAGTCACTTAACTCCGTTTGCTTTACAAAAAAAAATGAAAGAAATAAAAAGAAATCAGACATACCACAGGATATATATTACATAAAAATTATTTATTAAAAATTTTAAAATTTATTCAAAAAGCCTCCTCAAAAGTCTTAGTCCATTGTTTCATTATGCAGTAGATAGAAGTGGCCTTTAAATCTTCAGTTGAAGGGATAGATAGGTTGTGCTATCTGGAGAGAGAGTTTCCTTGCTAGAAGGTTGGTTTTTAGGTAATGAATTTTTTGGGCCATGACAACTTATCAATTTTATCTAATTGTCTAATTATCTAAGGGCAGAAGGAGCAGTATCCATATTGATAAAATCATGGATCTTTTGAAGAATTGTAATTAATTGTTTTTTTGTGTTGCTGTTGAAAATGAATACTGATTTATTTTAAGTTAATTTATTTGTGATACTATATGTAAATTGTATTCTAAAATTTTGGAACTTACATATATATATAAAATATAATATATAATAAATTTAGCTTTTTGTGTAATTGGGAAAAACAGAATCTTTTAATTTCTAATATTAACATGTTTGAAAGTAATTGAAGACCTACTGTATCACACTGAATAATGCCTTCAGGATTCATATAGAACTACAATTTAGGGAATACCTGTCAACAGGCAATCACAACTTCAGGAAACTTATGTGAAAACTAGGTTTATCACAAAAGAAATGAACAAACATGTGGAACGCAAAGAGTTCACAATCCATACAGAAGTTTACATTTTTATAACAACAGGACAAAGGAAAGAGAAGATACCAGAAATCTTCACCCAAGGGGGCATGGCAAGGGAGGGAGAAAGGTTCAGTAAAGGTGGGGAAAGGTTCAGTAAAGGTGCGAAAAGGACAAAACTCCTCCCCAAGGGGAGGAGCAGGCCAATAGCAAAAACCACATTCTTTTCCCTTAGGAACTGCTAGACTATGAAGATAGGATGGTTTGCTTATCTACATAGGTCCCAGCTGCACAAGCACTTTCTTAGCCTAGTGCAGACTGGTGCCTGTCTTGACTCCCAAGGACACACAGGACGTCTGGTTTGGGATGCAAACAACAAACTATGTCAGCTGTGGGGGGCTGCTTCCTTGACACGTTCAGGGCCTCCTGCATGTTCTAGGTTCAATCTTTCTGGAAAATATGGCAACTCAAAAAGACAAGTTCAGGGGATCCCTTAATAGTCCTTAACATAACTAAATCAGAAAATACAATAGTAAGTATACTTTTTTATTTTGATAGCTATCGCATTACCATGTGTCTTTTTGTTGCTTCTTAGTTTATCTGCATTTGATACTTCTGAGATTAGTGTTTTGTGGTTGTTCTTTCTCATTAAGGCCAACCTTTCTACATGTGGCCTTGATCCTCTTCCCCTCTGTCTTTACTATTAGATTTCCCTGATAGTTATCTACATTCCTCTAATCTTCAGTTTCTGGTAATTGCGGGTTCCTTTCCTCTTGCCTACCAATATGCCCAAGTCTCTCCTTACCCTGAAAAAGTCCTCAGTAGACTGTGTTAATCCCTCAAACTATTGTCCTTTTTCTTTTCTCCCTTTCATAGCCAAATTCTTAATAAAAGCTGTCTGTACTCATTGTCTTCATTGTTTCTTCTTTCACTCACTTTCTCAACCTGTTGTAATGTGTCTTCCTATGTCCTGTCTGAAGCTGCTCCCTCCAAGTTAGCCAGGGTCGTTTAACTGCCATGTCTGGTGGTCTTTTCTCAGGCCTCATCCTTGTTGACTTCTCTACTGCACTTGACACTGTTGACCATTTTCTCCTCCTGAATATTTTTTCAAATTGAAACTGAGCTAGGCCTAGAACTAAAATGGTTTGAATTGCCTTTGGGAAATTGCAGAGCTTCTTTAATGATCCTCAATTTCTCCTAGAAATTCTACGAGTGGTGACTCATGAGCAGGAGTGTTCTGGAGATAGCTTGTACTATCTTGAGAGAACTTGACAGTAATTTATTGTGCTAAGTAATTTATTTATTTGTGATACTATATGTAAATTGTATTCTAAAATGTCAAATAAAATTTTGGAACTTATTTGGTGAGCTTATAAATTTAGCTTTTCATGCGATTGGAAAAAACAGAATCTTTTAATTTCTGATATTAACATGTTTGAAAGTAATTGAAACCCAACTGTATCACAGTGAATAATGCCTTCAGGATTTACATAGGACCAGCTAAATGCTTAGACACCTTTAGAGAGTCAATAGCTAAATTTTTAGTGTGAGCATTTACACCTTGGAAATCGATAAATACTACAAATCAGAGCTTGCTTTATTGTTTTGTTGATTGTCTAGACTTACTAAAGTAATGGAAAAATGTTAAAAATGCAAATTGAACTTAAAAGTGTGTTGCATATACTTTTTTTTTGAGATGGAGAGCCAGTTGTTAAGCAATTACCAGCACATCTTTACACAAGTCATGGAACACTGCAGTACTGAGGAATTAAAAATGAGTATCACTGTAGACATCACTGTGGCTTTGTCCAGTCACAGGATAGGTGAGAACAAGCAGCAATGCAAAATAGATCAGTAACTAAGAAGAAGAATCAGAATAAAGACCTCGTGCCTAGAATGCTCTGTCCCCTTACCTTTGCTTCTTGGTTTTCCTGGCTTCTGTCAAGACTACAGGCAAATCAAATCTTCTGTAGGAGACCTTTCATAGTCTTCTGAGATGGTAACCTGTCAGGTTACCTACATTTACTCTCTATGTCCCTTGTATGTATGTTTTGTCTCCTCCATTAGATTATTTGCTTCTTGAGGACAGGGATTTTTTTTTTCCTTTTTTTGTGTCTCCAGTGCTTAGCACAGTACCTGGTACATAGTAAATGCTTAGAAAGTACTCGTTGAGTACATGCTCATCTAGGGGGACCCCATGTGTGGCAAGGTACTTTGTGTGGCAAGGCTTGTATCCCAATATGTACCAAGGGGGTGTTGTGTTGCTTGAAGAGAGACATCTCTTTTTCCACTTACCCTTCTAGAAGAGGTATTTTAATGCCTGACAACAGAAAGGTAAGCAAGAGGTTGGGGCTGGAGGCCATTCTGCTCTCCTCAGAGAAAAGGGCTACCCTGCTGGCTAGGATTATAGCTATCTCCTTCCTTAATTATTGTTGTTCTAGGGGATATGATCAGGTTAAAGCTAACTTCTGATTGCTGTGCCATCATTGCAGGGGAGGATAACTGAATCCAAGACTTGATCCTTTTCCCACCAAATACCAGTTCTACAATGAACTGATATAGCAAATAGCAAAGGAATATATTTATTCAAAATGGTAACAAAACAGAAATCAGAGAAGGTATACATAGGAGAATATATACCAGACAATATAGAATGAAAAAACTCTCCCACTGGAAGAAGGTAACTCAGGTCAACCAAGAGAGAGTCCCAGGTCACACCCGAGGGGGAGCCCTTCAGGTCTCTAGTGTAGCAAGTTGGGAATGGGGACACGATAGAGTCTGCTGCCTCTTCTCATGTCTTCCTGTAGTCTTTTCTTTTAGCAACTTGAAGTGGGGTTTCCCTCTTGCATCTTGACCCTTGAAGTTGGAAGCCAGAAGTTCCTGAAGCAACGAATAGGACTTGAAACTTGAGGAATCCTGAAGAGGACTGGAGAAGACTGGAGCTTTCATGCTTTCACTAACTCCACTCTGCCTCTCGTGTAGGCCAGGGCATTCATCTCCATCCATAAGGAAAGAGTCCCTACCAATAAGCTTAGGGATAGGGGTTACATTTGGGAGAAAAGATGGGCTGATTACTTGGCAAGAGTGAAGGACACCCAAGGTACAACCTGTGTATTCTTTTTGTATTCTTGTCATGTCATGGGAAAGTGAGGAAGGCCTCCCGTGTATTGAATGTGATGAATTCCTTTTACGTAATCTTCCTGTGATGAATTTTTGGAGGATTTTTCTCCCTTTTTTTCTTTAGTGGGGTAGGCAGAAGAGAAAATAGATTTTTGCTAATTGGAAAAATAAAACACTTAAAGAAGTTTTATTACAGAGAAGACTGGGCCTAAGTAATCTGCTCATTAGAGGTGCTGCTCCCAGTGGGGGCAGCTCAAAGACACCATGAGAATGGAAAGGATAGGGACGCTGCAGCATCCACCAGGGTGTGAGTTGCCTTAGCCACATATGTTCCTTAAGTATGTACCTTCCTTGGAGTGTAACCATTCTTCCCCTGATACTGTATATTGTTGTGAGAGTATGTTCTGGGTTAATGAAGAACATTTTTTTTTTTTTACTAGTCTTAGGATGCCATCTCAGCAAATGTATTTGCTTTGGGAAAATAAAAAAAAATTTACAGGAGGATGTGGATAAGAATAGCACAGGATATACAGGCACGAATGTGTTGTGATCTGCCATGTTGGAGGAAGCATTCATATTTGTGTGACTACAGATTCATTTGAGTATTCAGAATGTGAAATCTTTGTTCAGTCAAGGCTGATACCTTATTGCATGAACCAAAGCACATTGATTTTGATATTCTCATTAGAGGTGAAACCAGAAATCCTAAAGGAGTTGGGTCTAAATTAAAGGATAGCCACAAAGTTTTTCTCAGAGAGGGTTGGTTTTATTGGTTTCATTTCCCAAAGCAAGGAGAAATAACATTCGTGAGATACTTTGTTATCTCACAGTTTAGCACTTCTGTAAGATGAGCACAAATGAAAAGACCATAAAGAAGATAACTATAGCTTATGTGCAAAGGGTGAAGTACTGGACTATTTCTGGGAAGAACTTGACAACACCCTTTAAACCTAGTCAATCTGAACTTTGATCCTTGATGACTTCAATGCAGAAGTGGGCACAAAGGAGAATGGGCAAAAATAGTTGCTAGAAAATGTGACTAAGGAAACGAAAGAGGTCAAAACTTGTTAGGCTAGTTAGATTACTCAGAATTGACATGCTTATATGGAATAAATTTTTTTTCAGAAGAGAGGTGGAGAACTATGATCAATGCAATTGCCATTTACGATTCCAGAGAATCAATAATGAATCATGCTATCCATTTAGGTTGTGGCGGGGGGGGGATGAGAGAAAAAATAGCTTTCTTTTAACAAAAAAAATAGAGAGGTGAGGGGGTGCCATAGATGTGAAATTTTGCATGAACTTTTAGATGAAATCACTGTATTATTATTAGTTTTGTTTAACTCTTACTTTGCCACATGAAACCTCAAGTGGGAATGATCTGTGAATGTTTGTAATGTGAAAACAAAACATTTAAAAAAAAACTCAGTGGAAATAAAGGAAAGATGTGGAGGACACTGGACCTGGCAAATACTAGATAATCCCATAAAAATGAAATTGAATATATTTGAAAGGACAGAAAATGACTAGTTACCAACATAGGAGTCATTTTAGAATTAGCTATTTATGAAGTCAGATCATCAACTTATAAAAGAAAAAAAATCAATATGAAGTAGTAAAAAAAAAAATGGGGGGGGGGCAGCTAGGTGGCACAGTAGATAGAGCACCAGCCCTGAAGTCAGGAGGACCTGAGTTCAAATCCGGCCTCAGACCAAACACTTGATGCTTACTAGCTGTGTGACCCTGGGCAAGTCACTTAACCCCAATTGCCTTAAAAAAAGGGGGAAAAAACCCCAAACAACTTTACTGTATAACTAACACAGCTCTGACATAACTTATTCAGTCAACAAATGGTAGCCAAAGGGAAATGACTCTGTGGAATTATATGAAAATGTCAAAATGCTGAAGAAATGTCTCACAGATTCTGGTGGTTTTCCACTATTTCCTGAAGCACATCATGGCCGTCTTGTCTGAGCCAGGCTGTGACTGGATTAGAAACCAGAAGGAGACAGAGATTTTTGTGACTATTGAGTGCCAAAGCACATCACTGGAATGCTAAAATGAACCTGGTAGGGTGTACTCCTTGTTTCCAAGATGGTCATAGAAACTGATTGCAGCTTTTGTTACCAGAAACCTGCTGAAATTGATGTAAAATGACATAGGAAAATAGCGCTTTAATACACATTCTTTAGAGTCGCTAGTGGGCTAGTAAGTTAAGTTGTAACATATATCCTTTACATGATCCACATTTACTATTGTTTTATTAATTTTCTTCCAGTCAGGGGATTTTGATTGCTCCCATTTGCTATTTCTAGGTAGATATATTTGGTTTATTCATAATCAGATTGGGAAAAAATAATGACTTTATATGCAGTTTGATTTGCTAGTGTTGTCACAGCTATTCTTTTCATTAGTGTTTATTTTTGCTTTGACAGATACCAGAAAATGATGAACTGTTTTTGGTTCAGCTGAAAAGCATGGAGGGAGGGGCTGAGATCAACACTACAAGAAACTCAGTTGAGGTTGTTATTCGGAAAAATGACAGTCCAATACGCTTCACCCAGAGTAGTTATTTGGTTCCTGAGGAAGCAGACATACTAACAATTCCAGTGGTTCGTGGTAAGAATGAGAGTGGAAATTTGATTGGATCTGATGAGTATCAAGTTTCAATCAGTTATGCTGTTGTGACTGGAAATTCAACAGCCCACGCAGAGCAAAATGTAGACTTTATTGATCTTCAGCCAAACATGACTATTTTTTTCCCACCTTTTGTTCATGAATCCTATTTGAAATTTCAAATCATTGATGATGCCATACCAGAGATTGCCGAATCCTTTCTTATTGTCCTACTTAAGGACACTTTACAGGGAGACGCCGTGTTATTAAGCCCTTCCACAGTTCAAGTCACCATTAAGGCAAATGATAAACCTTATGGAGTGCTATCTTTCAATAGTGTCTTGTTTGAACAGACAGTTATCATCGATGAAGACCGAGTGTCAAGGTAGGGGTCAGTTTTGCCCTGTTGCTGTGATAAATGCCTGTTGTTAACTAGATTATCATCTTAGTAGGTTGGTATTAAAATTCATTTAGTGGTTTGTCTCATAAACTGAAAAATATATAAAACAAAGAAAATCTTTCCTTCTTACACAATTGAGAAGTTACTTTTATTTTCAACTTAAAAATTAGGGTGGAATTATGGTGTATGATTTAGGAAAATTGCTAACTAGAAAGTCTGAGGTGTATTTCTATTACTGAGAGTTAACTGGGATAATAATTTTTGTTGATATTAATTTTTTTTCTCTCAAGTTCATATTCACATAAGGCATGTATATCCAAGAGAAGAAATGTATTATATATGTTATATTATAGCACAACTGAGTATATATAACTAGGTAACAAGCATTTATTAAACTCTTACTATATGCCAAATGATTTAAATACAAGCAAAAAAGAAAGGCAATTCCTGCCCTTGAGGAGCTAACATTCTTATGGGGGAAAACAGCACATAATAATATTTGTGATACAAGAATAATATTTACTACAATATTTATCAACATAAACTATACCATAAATATAATATAATAAATATGATAATAAATCTATTACCTTACATATGTACATCTGCATGTATTTTTCTTTTTAAAAATTATAGGTTTGAAGAAATCACAGTGGTGAGGAATGGTGGAACCCATGGGGACATTTCAGTGAGTTGGGTCATGACACGGAATAGCAGTGATCCTGCTCCAGTGACAGCAGACATCATGCCAAGTTCAGGTGTTCTGCATTTTGCTCAAGGGCAGATGATTGCCTCCATTCCTCTAACTATTGTTAATGATGATTTCCCTGAAGAGGCAGAAGCTTATCTACTTCAGATTCTACCTCATACAGTACAAGGAGGTGCAGAAGTGAGTGAGCCAGCAGAGGTAAGGCTCTTGGCTTTTATTCTGATATTTTTTGTCTGTGATGCAAGGAAATTTTTGCATGGGAAGGTAAAATTTAAGTTTCAGGTTTCATGCCAAGAAAAGACAAATTGAGCAAATGTGTTTTCTTCCTTCCTTCCTTACTTTGTTCCTTCCTTCTTTTGTTCATTTCTTCTTTCCCTACCTTTCTCCATTTCTCTTTTTTTCTCCCTCTCTCCCTTGTTTTCATTTGAGTCAGGAAAACCTGGATTCAAATCCTGCCTCTGGCACTTACAAGTTGTATGATGCTAAACAGATTGTTTACCCTCTCTGCTTCATACACCTCCCTGGGACTTATCTTTTTTTTTTTCTTTTTGACAAGGCAATGGGGTTAAGTGACTTGCCCAGGGCCACACAGCTAGTAAGTGTTCTGTGTCTGAGGCTGGATTTGAACTCACGTCCTCCTGAATCCAGGGCTGGTGCTCTATCTACTGCTCTGCCTAGCTGTCCCTGTAATTACTAATCTTAAAAAAGTTGCCTGTAGCACCTAGGAATCTAAGTGATTAGCCCAGTTTCATAAGGCCTGTATTTGTCAGAGACAGGACTTGAAACTCATGCATTCTTAATGCCAAAGTGGACTCTTTATCTTCTGCATCATACTGCCTCTCTATTTCTGTGGTTTAATACAAAATATAAAGTTCATTCTTGAATCTTTTTTGCATAACTAAGAAATGTACATCCTTAGATCTATATGTACAAATTTGTGGTAAAAATTTGAGTAATGGCAGCATGTGAATAATTTGTTAATTTCTGTGCATTATCTAAATTCCTTTTTTCGTGGCAGCTTTTGTTCTACATCCAGGACAGTGATGATGTTTATGGTTTAATAAAGTTTTATCATTTGGAAGATCAGAAGATTGAAAGCAGCCCAGGTGAAAGATTCCTATCCTTGAATTTTGCAAGACAAGGAGGAACTAAAGGCGATGTGAAGATGTTTTTTTCCACATTTTATATTCCTGCTGGAGTTGTGGACCCTTTGCGAGCAAAAGATGGCATCTTAAATGTGTCTCAGAGAAATAGTCTCATCTTTTCAGAATGGAAAACTCAAGTCGCTATGAAATTACCCATAAAAAACGATGCATTCCTTCAAAATGGGGCCCATTTCCTAGTGCAGGTATTTTATTAGTTCTATAATCTGGTTAAAAATTACATTATTAGCTTCTTGCTATATGTGAAATGAATATCACTGGGCCTGGTTTACACTATTCTTAACTCAGTAATAATAATAAAATCACATTTATGCAGTACAGTCCCACTTATAGACTACTTTTCTCACACCAGTCCACTTAGGTAGTAAAAAATAAGATGTTAAGTACCTCTTTTCCTTTTTGGTCATTTGTTATGCCATATTGCTAAAATAGGTTATGAAAGGGTAACCAGAGTATATGTACTGGGACCATGAACATATGTACTGAACCCTCAAAGACCTTGAAGAGTAAATGGTCCTCTACCTTCCTACATTACTTACTACATCTGGGCCCAAGAGTATGTGTTCTGATCTTAGAGATCTTGAAAAGTAAAATGTGCCTCTGTCTTACTACATTAAAACATCAGTTGTTTTAATATAAGTGGCTGCTGTACTTCTAGCCTGTGGGAATTAGAACCACTCTCAAAAGAAAACAAAGCTAACTCAACAAGATAAGCAGAATAGTCCAGACTTCAGGTTAAAAGCCCTAGTCCAAATACTCTTTCTGACACCTCAATAAAGGCACCTCAGTAAGGTGTTTCGGCATGATTACAGCAAGCTATAACTGAATATTTTGTAGTATCTTTACATTATGAGATTACATTAAGCTGTTACTATAGTTTCTCAGACTCAGATGTACATTCATCCTACTCTTGTTTTCTTAATTGTCATGATACCTTTCATCTGGGCTTTGTTAATGAAGACATGTTCACATGGAACATTAAATAACAAAGTATTTGGTCCATGCTGTTATTAAAAGTGTTTATGAGTCCTTGGCCACTTGAACAGCTCTTGAAAAAAGTATTCAGAAACAGCCAGTAAGTTTTTTTGTACATTGTACATATTCCTGGGCTGGAATATGTTGTCTTTTAGGCATCAGAAGTGTGGTCTAGTGGATAGAGTTACACTGGTTTGCCCTAGTTTAGTTATGCTTTCAGCTTCAATATTGCCCTGTCATCCAGAGAGTCATTGGTTAAGGTTTGCTGTTTGAAGGCTTGCTTATTCTAAAGAGATTATGACTAAATGAAGAGCTTCTCCCAGTGCCTAAACTATTTTGTAATTTGTAAGGTAGACACCTTTTGGCAGCTGCATTAACTCAATCAGATCTCTTGGGTGAAGTAATACTAAGAAATGCTACTTGCAGTATTTTTACCAAGTGGCCTATAAGAGTTAATGCATCTTTCATAGATGCCTGAATAAAACCCAAGGAAAAGAAAGTAGGAGATTTTTTTCTTAGGAAAGGCACATAAGTGCTTTCTGTTTGTAAGCACTTGGGTAGGCAGACAGGGAGATACAAGTAAATTAAAGGGCAACATGACCCTTACCATCAAGGATTATTCAGTCTAGACCAGACTTTAAATTAAATAGCAATTAAAAATAATGATATGAATGTTGTTATAAGGTCTTACATGATTTATTATCAATTAAGTGTTAGAGACAGTGAGTTCAAGGGAGGGGAGAGAGATTTGACAAAGAGAGAGAAAGAGGGAGACAGAGAGAATTCTTTGAAGTTCAAAACAGATAACCCGAGAAACAAGGAAGGAAGGAGGACGAAGGATTGTAGATTTCCTTCCTGTGGAGGATGAAGACCTTTGATATAACACATATTTATTTGGTACATCAATTATTTTTTCACCCAAGGCAGTTGGGGTTAAGTGACTTGCTCAGAGTCACATAGCTAGTAAGTATCAAGTGATCAAGTATCTGAGACTGGATTTGAACTCAGGTCTTCCTGACTCCAGAGCTGGTGCTCTATCTACTGCGCCACCTAGCTGCCCCAATCAATTATTTCTTAAAATAAATTTTTACCCACCTTCTCTTCCCCCTTCCAGAGAACCATCTCATATAACAAGGAGTATTTTTTTTTTAGAAAGGGGAAAAAAAACAGTACAAGTGGTCAAAAAGTATAAAAAAATATACAATGTGTTTGGACCTTTGGACCTCTCATTTTCATGAAGGAGTGACTGTGGGTTGATTGTTTTCCTTATGTTGAACCATCCTTGTATCCTTGCTATAAATCCCACTTGGTCATAATGACGGATTTCATGGATAAATTGTTATAGTCTGTTTGACAGGATTTTGTTTAAAATTTTTGAGTTGGTGTTCATTGATGATATTGACCTGTTTTTTTTTTTCCCTTGGTGAAGCAATTGGGGTTAAGTGACTTGACCTGAGTCACACAGCTAGTAAGTGTTATGTGTCTGAGGCAGGATTTGAAGTCAGGTCCTCCTGACTCCAGGGCCAGTGCTCTATCCACTGCACCACCTAGCTGCCCCTGACCTGTTGTTTTCTTTTTGTGTTTCATCTTTCCCTGGTTTAACTATTAGGAGTGTATTTTTTTTTCCTTAGAAAAGTATTCTAGTAGGGTGCTTTCTTTCTCAGATTTTGAGAATAATTTTTGAAGTAAGGGTATTTACTGTTTTTTAATCTGCTTGCCCCTAGGATTCCCCTTTTCCATTGTGCCTCATTCCCAGAACAATGTCAATTATTGCAGGTATCAGAGGGGGCACTGCCCTATCACTATCCATGTTCCTGATTATGCAGCCCACTACTATATCCCCTTCTTGTTATCTGTTTTCCCCATTTGCCTTGAAATCTTCTCTTTGGGTTCATGCTTTTCCACTCCCCTAGGTACCAGTTGTCCCAGGATTTCCAAATCCTTCTCTCCTGAGGTAGGCTGAGGGGACTTTTCAAGCACCAAATCCCTCAGACCATACCCACCATAAGATTCTAATCTCCCTTCACAGACCATCTCTTCAACTATAGGAGCATTCATCAGTATAATCTCTTTCACTCAACAAAAAGACCTCCTTCCTTTCCCCCTTTCTCCTTACCTATTCCCCTAAAGTCTTTTTTTCTTTCTGAAACCAGAGGGGTCACTTTCTTCTTAATTCGACCATGTGGGATCACCTTTCTATCCTTTTGAGCTTTCCTATTCCCATCACATAACCTCCTGTCTTGAAATGTAATCCCACAAAAAGCAATTATTCACTGGTAGACAGTGTGTCACCAGGTTCTATTCATAATGCCCCAGGCCCACATCTTCATTATTATCTCCACTAGGCTTCTGCCTTTACCCTGTCACTTTCTGTACATTTAGAAAGAAGTCTCTTACTGGTCTCTCTACTATTACTTTTTTGCTTTTGCTGTTCTAGAAGGTACATTTATTCATTCCTCCTGCAATTCAGTTGTTTGGGTTATTTGAGAAGCACATAATTTCTTCTTCTTTCTAAAAATATTTCAGATGCCTCTTTATTATTGAATATCCATCTTTTTTTCACTTATGGTTAAGTTCAGATTTTCAGATTTGGTGCCCTGGGCTTCCTCCTGAGTTCCATTGCTTGTCAGAACACATTATTCCATTCCCTCCTATGTTTTATGGTGGTTGCAAAATAGTCTTGCATTATGCAAATTTCCTTTCCTTTGTATTTGAAGGTTTTCTCATCTCTTGCAGAACTTGTTTCTGAATTGTTAAATTTAACTATTGTGTATCAAGGAATTTGCAGCCGTGGTTTTTTTCTGGAGATGATCTCTGAATTCTTTTAACTGGTATTTTATTTTCTATGTTCATAAGTTCTGGGTAGTTATCTTTTATGATTTCCTGCATTATGGTTTAAGATCCTTAGGTTGTCTCTGTGCATCCTGTATTTAAGACAGTTATGTTTTGCTTGTATATGTAACGAACATATCTTTTAATGTTACTGTTTTTTGCTTCTCTTCTGGATTATTCTTCACTTCTGATTTTGTATCTTTATTTCCTGTTTATTGTACTCTCTTTTTTTTTGTTTGCTTTTGGTGAGGCTTGTCATTTCAGATTCCAGTTTTTCTATTCTGATCATTATTTTTGCTGTGCAGGTCATAAATTCTGCTCTCATAATTCTCATTTCTCTTTTGCAACACTCAAGAACAAATGTGTTCTGTTTCAGTATTCTTCTCACATTTCACAAGATCCTCTATCTCATCAGTGTTGGATCATCTTCCTTTGTTTTGTAGTATGTATTCATAGATGCCTGAACTCATTTACTAGATCTGGAGGCCATATTTACTTCTTTTGTTAAAGCTTTCCCTGTTGATTTATCTGTTTATGTTCAAGTTCTTAGAGTTCTCTTCTTTGTGAGATCTTTGGTGTTAGTCTTTTTTTTTTCTCCTTGATTTTCCCCTATTGCACACTTTCTGACTCTGTCCCCTCTGATGGTGGTTTCTTTGGGGGCTGGATCTGAAAGCATCTCAGCCTCCTCCCATGCCAAGCAATTCATGGTTCATCAGCCTAGGTCTCTGCCCCAAGTGTCTTTTGGACAGAACTGGACCCTGGTGTCCTGCCCCACTCTTGCTTTTATTCAATTCTCTGGCTTTTCAGAGAGCTGCCATGTTGGTATTATCCATCTGGGCACAGGCATTTCAGGTCTTTGCAGTGCTGGTGCAGTGGGGTTTTCTGCTGATGCCAAGGGGTTGCCTGCCAGAGCATTGCTGGCTCTTGTGGCCCTGTCCAAGCTCACTTGTCCTCCTGAAGGACTGTGTTAGCCTGGGCTATCGCAGAATATACTTCTGTTGTCTGTCTCCATATCTCCAGAGGGGGACTGTGGTGTGGGGTTGTGTTGTGTTGTGTTGCAGACCCTTTGGTCCTTGAGTCTACTAGTACAGCTTTGCTTCCTGTAGTGTGGGATGTTGGGGAGAAGTATGGAGTGAACCCAGGGTTGGTGAAGGTCAGGTCATTTTTTAAAAATACCTTCTTTTGGATTTTGAGTGTTCTAGAGTGACCAACACTCCTTAAACCCCATATGGTGTCATGACCCACATTTTAAGAAGTGCTGAAAGGATCTCAAATGGGAAAAAGTTTAAGAAGCCCTGTTTTAGATCCGTGGAGACAGCTGAAGTTGCTTTATCTTTGGTGCATAATTTCTGTTTTGGGAAGGTTTAAGAGGTTGTAG